AATCGTGCTGAAAACGTGTGCGCCAGAATTGACTCCAATCCTGACGCGCCTATTTAGGCTTTCATTTGAGGCTGGAAAAGTTCCGAATGCATGGAAGCAAGCTAACGTACAGCCCGTGCCCAAAAAGGGTAGTCGGGCTGACCCAGCTAACTACAGGCCCATCTCAGTAACGTCCATTCTCTGTAAGACAATGGAACGTGTGCTGAACACAAAACTCCTGGCATACCTAGAAGCCAATGACATCTTAAGTGACCGACAATACGGATTTCGCCGGAATCGGTCCACAGGTGATCTTCTAGCGTATGCCATCCACATCTGGAGTGAGGCCATCGAGAAACACGGGGAAGCGCTTGCCGTCTCCCTTGACATCTCGAAGGCTTTCGATAGGGTATGGCACGAAAGTCTTATTAGTAAGCTTCCTTCATTCGGTTTGCCCACTGGATTGTGTGTCTGGATCGCAGACTTTCTGAGGGACCGGTCCATCCGTGTGGTCATCGATGGTTGCTCGTCGAATCAAATGACCATCAATGCTGGGGTCCCTCAGGGGTCAGTGCTCTCGGCAACATTGTTCTTGTTGCACATAAACGACCTGCTTAAGCCCGGTACCTTTGGGTATGCAGACGACAGCACTGTTGTTGAGAGTTACACGTCCGGCGCACGAGCTAGTGGGTCACAGATCCAGACTCTTCGAAAGGCTATGGTTGGGCGCTTGAACTTGTCCTTGGAGGCTGTCTCTAAATGGGGCGACGCCAACATGGTCAGGTTCAATGCAGCTAAAACTCAGGCGTGTCTATTTTCCAGCAAAAGGAGTCAATTTAGCCCTGCTCCAACTTTCCGGGGTGTATCCGTGCCGATAACTGACCATCTTGATCTTCTTGGTATAACGCTGACATCTACTCTCAATTTTGGGCCATACATCGAAGCAAAAGCTCAACTGGCTGCAAAAAAGTTGGGAATCCTCGCAAGGGTTAGACAATACTTTACGCCGGAACAGCTGCTTAAACTTTATCAGGCGCAAGTTCGATCGGTTATGGAGTACTGCTCTCATCTTTGGGACGGATCTGCCCGATACCAACTTGATGCGCTTGAGTCTATTGAGAGGCGAGCCAAGAGGATTATTGGCGATGATGCACTTGTCGAGTCGAGACTTCAAAGTCTTGAGCATCGACGCCGAGTTGCTAGCCTGTCGGTTTTCTACCGGTTGCATTTCGGGGAATGTGCGTTGGAATTACATAATTTAATTCCGCCTAGCCCGTTCCATCATCGGACCACCAGACGTACGGCATTGCGCCACCGGTACATGGTGGATGTCCCACATATACGTACAAAACGTTTTGGGAGCACATTCATTATGCTTACAGCCAAGGAGTGGAATTCCTTGCCGGAGTCGGTGTTTCCTGATAGCTTTCTTTTCTGGGTATCTTTAAGTCAAGAGTGAATAGGTTACTTCTAGGTAAGCGCGCTCCATCGTCGACCGCATCGTCGCTTTCCATCAGGTGAGATAGCGGTCAAGCGCGAACCTATAATCAATAAAAAAAAAAAAAAAAAAAAAAGAGATCTCATGGCAGAGTGGAAACAACGACTGTCGCAACCGAGGGCCGGGCACGCTACCATAGCAGCGGTAAGACCCCTCTTTGAGGAGTGGCTTGAGAGACGCCACGGCGTCCTCACCTTCCGCCTGACGCAGGTGCTTACCGGGCACGGCAGCTTCGGTAGGTTCCTGTTTCGGATTCAGCGGGAGGAAACGCCCGAGTGTCGTCATTGTGAGGACCACCTAGAGGATACGGTGGAGCATACGGTAGCGGTATGCCCTGCCTGGGCTGAGCATCGCCGTATCCTCAGGGAAGTGATCGGCGGCGGCGACCTCTCGCGCCCGGCCTTAGTCGAGGCCATGGTGCGGAGTGAGAGGAACTGGGACGCCGTCTCCTCCTTTTGTGAAGCAGTCATGCTCGCAAAGAGAGAGGCGGCCCGCGTGAGGGAGCAATCCTCCTCCTCACGCCCCAGCAGCCGCAACTGGCGACACTACGGGCGTCGGGGATCGAGGGACGATCTCCGGCCACCGTAAGTACGGGCCTGCGGTCGGCGAGTAAGGGCAGCTCGCCGCCCGACCAGAACCAGGCCCGAGCGTACGGCGCGTAGCGTTCCGCGCGCGCCTCAAAGAGCCAATAGACCACCACAGACGGGGCCCTAAAGGGCTGATGTTCAGCCGGGGTTGCGGGGTAAGCGCAATAAGGTACCGCGACCTAATCTAATAAAAATAAAAATCCCTACATTACATTTTAAAACAAAACGAACACAGTGCGACGATTTAAAAACAATGTTTTAGTGACACCAACGGTCGTAATTCTTAAACCCAATTCAGTGGTTTGGGTAAAGATGAGAATTTTTTAATGTTACTCCAGTTTGCTTTCGGCATGACTTCACAATACCTAGTTGCGCTAAAGGCTAAAGAATCAGTGTTAAAGAATGCAGCGCCACGTTAAATATTGACTCTATTGGAACACTTCATCCCTTGCGCGTTTCTAGGGTTGATAGTGATGTGTACATTTATTATAGTTTTTTAAAAGAAAAACTGATATACGATTTACTTTTGAGATTTATAATGGATTCCGGTTTCTATCTGGAAAAAATGGTATTGTATTTTCAGTTACTGAAATTGTCAAGATCTAAATATTAACTCTGAATAAAATTAAGCAAATACCAACATCCATCCAACAATTCCCTGTGACTTGTATCAATAACAATACAACTAAAAAATCACCATTCACCACGCAATTCCTCGCGCAGGAAGATGTAAATTCGAAACCTGGCAATTACCAATGAAACTTTTCTTATGTAAGATATACTTTCTAAGTTAATTTACACATCACTGATGTGTGATGAAGGAAAACAAACAGGAAACTTGGACTTATACTCTCTAACTACATATATAGTCTAAAACTAAAGTGTGCACTTATAAGCTGTTGACGATAACTCAATTTATGAACCACTGCTAGTCTTCCACTACAGTAGAAAGACATCTTATAATACAATTGTTTTAATAGAAAATTTATTTAATTTAAATTTATACATTTCATATCCTGTCAACCCTTACCGCCGCAATATTCACCACAGTCGATTTTTATTTACATAGCCCTGTTACTATTGCAATGTGCTTTCATTTGCTCCCGAGGTCTAGACGCAATAAGTAACTAATATACGGCTTATACCTGCTGACTCTTATCTACGAGAAAGGAATAAGTTTGTCTTTAATATTAAAGAACTTATTATTTTTATTTTATTAGATAGGGTTGTCAAAGAGCAGAAAAATCGGTTGCCTGTAATCTGCGCCACCCATAGACGCTCGCAACACCATAGAGTTTAAAAGTGCGTTGCCGTCTTTTTCGGGGTTACAAATTGAAGAATTTGGGTTATCACAAAGCGAAAAATGTCGCAAGCTTTGTTGTATTTCAGCCGGGGTTGCGGGTCAAGCGCAATAATATACTGTGGCCTAGGCCTGAGGCAGGAGAAGGAATGGGTTTTTAGTCAGTAAGAGTCTGACACTGTCTCTCACGAGGGAAAATAATTAGACGATTTTCGCCCTTCAAAAACACCTTGTAAAAAAGTAATTCATATTTTTATGCATAAAGGTATATCTGTGTTACTTTTAAAACCCAACTGGTAAACGTGACAAATGAATAAAACAATTTATCTTTAATTAACATCCTTAAAACACTCCTAAAACAAACTATACACTAATGAACACACACACATAGGTACATGCAAACGAGGGTGTCACATCTGTTGATCAACATACCATGTAGCTATACATGTATATTACTATACAAGGCAATATATTAAACAGATTTGTGGTAAGCCCGTCATCCATACAGCCCGACTGTCTCTACGTGACATACCTTCTAAGCTATGCTAATCTGTGGGATCTAGACTAATTTTAGCACTAGGTGATTTGATAAACTAGTCTGTAAATAGGATTGTAGCGATGTTTAAATAGAATTTGTAACTTTTTTTAAGTGTGGGAGAACCATGCTTCGTTACGAACGGGCAGGTTTGACCGGAGTGAGACCATGGCCTCACGGAAAAGGTGAAGGTGAAGCAATACTATTTGTTTCTTTTTTAAAAAAAACGCTGCTCCACACTAGGATTATCTCCTGTGTCGTGGGGCGTTTAAAAACATACACAGTTTGTAATTCTGTAATTCTTCCCAGATTCGGAACACCAATTTGTGGATCACACAAAGAGTTTTTCCGCGACTAATACGCGACACCGCGCCAGCCGTGCAGTCAAAATACTTACGTTGCGTTTCGCCGTGTGAGTGAGGGTACCGGACACCCAATCCTTCCCCTTCCCCATTCTCAATCCTCAAATCTCCTATCCTTAAATCCCTAATAACCCACAAGAGGCCGGCAACGCACTTTTAGTAACTCCATGTCCATGGGCAGCGCTGATGGCTTACTACCAGGGGGCTAACCATGAAGTTCAAAGTAAGATTGTTTTAGAGACAGAGCTAGACAACTTGTATAGCTCTGTCTCTTACCCGCACTGAAGTTAGATTACTTACTTTGAATGCCATGGTTCATCATCATCAGCCTATAAGTGCCCACTGCTGAGCAAAGGCCTCTTCACATACGGAGAAGGCTAGAGCATTAATCACCACGCTTGCTCAATGCGGGTTGACGATTTCAAACATATAATTAGAAATTATAAGTCAAGGTTTCCTCACGATGTTTTCTTTCACCGTATGTCAGTGGTGTCTAAATAATCATAGAAAGTACATTGTAATTCGGAAAAAGTCACATTGGTACTTACCAGGTTTCGAACCCACACCCTCATGCACAAGAAGCGGGCTCCTTAACCTCTGGGCCACCACGACAATGCCGTGGTTACCCCCCTGGTAATCCGTCAGCTCGTTTGATGACCTATGACATCAAAAACACTTAATTTTCTCGCGTCCTACAATATTTATTTATTTATTTATTTAATATCTTATGCACAAAACAATGTACAAAGGTGGGCTTAATGCCATGGGCATTCTCTGACAGCCAAACCTTTGGATGATGCAGAGATAAATATAAAGGTGCACAAAACAAGCATCATCAGAGACGTTATAAATACATATTATATACTGTAAATATACATACTATATATATATATACAATATGTTTGCCTGTACGTGGTAACTCTAGAACATTTTTACTTCAACGGCCATCGGTTCTTCGACAAATTCAATATGACCTGCGCTACAAAATACATTATAGTATCGAACAAAAACAACTACAGATCACCCAGCCACAGTGTTCCCCCTCTACACATTGCAATTCCATGAATGAAGTTCACTACACACCAGTTCTTTGTACAAGCTGTTTGCTCGGTCAGCCCCAACGAATCAGGTGCAAGCTCGCCTTTGATACGCCTCTCATTGAATTGAATGAAAGTAGGTCATTCCCTATACCTACGCTGTGCGCTGGATCCAGCTTCGCTTAGGACCGCAAGCGATGGAAGCGCTTAATTTTAAACCGGGTTGATGTTCTTTTTTTTTTCTTAAACTGATATTTAAAGAAACTTGATGTTCTTGCAATGAACAAATAAGAAAATGTTTTTTTTTTTAGTTCAGTTGCCTCTTTGTCTATGTATGTATAGGTATGTAGTAGAACTGCTGAAATAGGCAATTCAAATTGTGAGTCAGTAGGGAGTCAGGAGTCGGCTTCAGCCGTGTGGTATATTGATAAAAAATTGCCTGTGTCAATGCAGGGTATCACCTATCGCAGATAGAATTTGGTTGAAATGTATCTACATACATACTACAGTTCAACCAAATTGGTCCAATCGTTCTTGCTTGAAAAAAAAACTCATAAAAATAAAAACAAACCTAGGTACATCCATACATTCTCACAAATTTTCACATTAAATATTCGAAGGACAACAGCAGAGCCTGGTATTTATACTTGGAGTACTTATAGGTTCACTACAAATTACTGAGGCTATTATTTCATATTGCCTTCCTTCGACGATATCTACAGCCTCTTAACCAAAGCACAAACGTTTTCGCAATTCTCAAAAATGCAATTTAACAAAAACATTTAAATTTATTTTGATAATTCAACACCATAATAAAATATTCCGTCATTTTTTCACAAGCGAAAATGGCGTCATTAGCTGTAAAAAACAGCATAATCATGATGAACAAATAACAAAGCAGGTTCTTATACCATAAAGGCAATAAGGCTCAGAATGGCTAGATGAAGTAAATGACGCACTTAAAGATAATACATGGAGGAAGTCTGTCACGATTCATGTTGAAATTTCGAAACTTAACTTGGGTTGTAACAGGTCACACATAATAGCTGTTTTTATTGTTACAGTTCTTAATATCGGTTATTTAATAACAGGTATTGAGACGAGGGCTATTAATCAAATGGAATTCAAGCGCTCGTCCACAAAGAAAAGAAAACTCAATGTATAAAATTAATTATGTCAAAAATTTGATAATGTCGGAACTTTATTGTAAGTATCAAAACAATAATACATAAAATAATTATCAAGCTGTGACTGTGATTTGAAGTATGATTGTAATTTGAGCTGTGATTCGAATGTTATCTTCTATCTGTGTTATCGGTTACTTCGACTCACTAGAATAACAGCACAGTGTTCTGCAATAAACCTGTTACTTAGACCAACAAATTGGCACCCCATCTTTGGAGTGTCGAGAGTCGATTTCCGGCCATCGTAAGCGCGGGTCTGTGGCCGGCAAGTAAGGGTAGATCGCAGCCCGACCTAAACCAGACCGGAGCGTACGGCGCGTAGTGTTCCGCGCGCCCCTTATAGAGTCAATAGACTACAGACGGGACCCTATAGGGCCGATGTTCAGCCGACGTTGTAGGGTAGGCGCTATGTGACACTGCCGCGGCCTCGGCCCAAATCAGGAGAAGGGACATTGGGTTAGGGTAAGACAAAGGGTTTTTAGTCAGTAAGAGTCTGGCAATCTCTCTCGCCTTTCCCTGGGCGGTAGAAGTTATTTTATGATTTTCCCCTGACAAAAAAAATCTTTGGAGTGTATCGTTAAATGCATGCGTTGAAAGTATGATAATAATAATATTTTAATGATTAATATTGTGTCGAAAAGTCAATATAGTTTATTTTTGATCTAAGACACTATCCAATTGCGTTTACACCAGCGACAGTTACAGCAATCGTTTTACCCATACATATTTATAATATCTGCATAAACAATTACTTATACCAATGAAAATAATAAATACGTCGCAGTATTTGAAAGTTTACTTAAGGTTTATGCCTCAAGTGAAGCCCGCTCACGTTATTACAAGGTGAGACCAACTTTCTTTGCCAATATCACGGGAAGGGAAAGTTTGAAGACTTTTTTTATTTACATAAGATGAACCAATATCATCTGGTGTGAGGTTTAAGGATGCCGTATTTTACAGAAAAATGATGGAGTATTATAATATATTTTTTATTAGTACAGAAGCTCGACGATTATGAGTTCTAAATATGATTTTATACTTAACAAAATTTTGTTATCTTTGGTTGGCAATTATATTTAGATATTTTCTGTTTTTTTTTTTGGTGGCCTATTTGGCTACTTTGCGGCCAGTTATCTACTTTAAAGTTTCAGTTAAATATCTGTATTTTGAATCAGTTTTATTCTCTAGCTTAATCTTCTTTAAGTCCGACTTTACATAAAATAATAAATAAATACTTAAATGGCATTAAATGTAAGGAAAAATATTTAGTTTTTATTCCGCGACAAAATTCAGGCTTGTTGCAGGATGCTGCACATGCACCAAAGGTCCCACTCTCCCGCCTATATGCATATGCACAAACACGTAAAAACATCCCACGCAAGCAAACCTATACTCGACACGTGTTTCGCCCCTCCACAGGGCATCCTCAGGAGATCTCTATCCTCTATCCTCTATACCTCTATCCTCAGGATGTTGACTCGACGAGTCAACATCATCATCTTCCTGCCCTTGTAACCTTTTTAAACATAATTAAATTATTAATGACTCTATATTTGTTTACCCTCGTATATCTATCAACTATAAATATCATATGTAATCGTCATCTTTCTGCCCTTGTCCCGTATTATTTGGGGTCGACGCAATATGTTTTTTTCTTCCATTCTGTCCTGTCACGCGTCACGCTATCGCTAACTTCTCTGTCCTCCATATCACTTCTTACACAATCCATCCATATTTTCTTTGGTCTCCCTCTCCCTCTCCATCCATCCACATTTATGAGCGCTCGACGAGTCAACATCTCCAGAATTTTGTCGCGGAATAAAAACTAAATATTTTTCTTAACATTTAATGTCATGGATTTCCGCAAAGTAACGCCTGATTCTATAAATTAACTTAAATGGCAATTTTTTTGCAAAAACAAATAGATTTTTTATATCTTCTTTATCCGTATTCTTATCACTAACTATCACCTTTTCCAGGTATGGATATTCGGCGACGTCTGGTGTTCAGTATGGCTGGCTGTAGACGTCTGGATGTGCACGGCCTCAATCCTGAACCTGTGTGCCATCTCCCTGGACCGCTACGTGGCCGTCACAAGGCCTGTAAGCTACCCTAGCATCATGAGCAGAAAAAGGGCTAAGGCCCTTATAGCTGGTCTTTGGGTGCTGTCTTTTGTCATCTGCTTCCCGCCGCTGGTCGGATGGAAGGATAAAAAGGTAATTATTGAGTATTCTCTCTTCTATATCATCTATACTAATATTACAAGGAGGTAAAATGTGTAAGTTTGTATGTAGGGGGTAATCTTTGGAACCACTAGTTGGATTCCAAAAAATCTTTCACTTATTCATAGCTACAATGTTCCCGAGTGCTATGGACTATAAAACATCAAGCTACAATCAAATTGAGCCCAACAGCGAGTGAAACCGCGCGGGAGTAGCTAGTTCGTATTATAAATTACTAACCTCTACCACGTGATTTCACCCGTCGATCGGTTCCTATTGGTCGTAGCATGATGTTTAGTTCATAGGTATTATTCTTTGATGAATGAAGTATCCAACACAAAACATATAGTTGAATTTTGAACCTATAGTTTTTGAGATAAGCGCATTCAAGCGAACCACTTTATAATATTAGTATATATAAAAATATGTTTGTATAACAATAACCCTTCTATGAAGTCAGGTTGTTTCGAATACGTTCATTACTAAAACAATTGCCGGTTCTATTTTATACATACATTTTTATTTTGAGACTGCCGTAAGTCGTGAAGTAGACATTCAACATTATGCTCTATTCCAGTATTATTAAAGTTATAATAAATTAAAGTATGCACATACAAAAAAGGGAAACTTTGCACTTAAAAAAATTAAACATTAGGTATATTAACCTCTTTCAAAGGTTTCGTATGTAAATGTTAAAGTAACGCGCAGACCTCTTTGCATTATAAGCTCTTATGCTTGGGCTACACTAACGGGAAATGCCATTAATTATCGCAATAATGGACGTGAATCGTAGGTAAAATTTGATATCTAAACAAAAGGTTTAAAGTATATTTTTCATTGTTTAATATGTGGTCGTGGTGGCCCGGAGCTTAAGGAGCCCGCTTCTCATGCATGCGGGTGTGTGTTTTTTTCCGAGTTATATGAACTTTCACTATGATTATTTACACACCACTGATATGCGGTGAAGGTAAACAGCGTGAGGAAAACTGGACTTTATAATTCCTAATTATAAGTTTTAAATCGCCAACCCGCATTGAGCAAGCGTGGTGATTAATGCTCAAAACCTTCTCCGTGATAGAAGAGGCCTTTGCTCAGCAGTGGGCACTTATAGACTGATGATGATGATGATGATGTTTAATATCATCAATTATCGCGATTATTATTGGCATTTCCAGTTAGCGTGGCCCAAGCATTACGGACTTGTATGAAATATATGCTTATTCAACAAATTTTATGATTTAATGTAGGTTGGTGGCTATAGGTATACATATACCTCACCTATTTGCATTACTTTACATCTTCATAAGCCGCACTGAATTTTGTGCGGTAGGTAATAATACGTAAAATAAATTAATTATAAATTTTCTTTGGTAAAATCGTTACTTAATTACGGTATTGTAAGTAAGCAATACACGAATGTTGTGATTACAAAGATACACATGAATGTTGGCGCCTAAAAATTAATTATGTTATGCTTCTGTTCAAAGGAAAACGTGGGTGGATGTAAATCTTTCGACGTAGAGACAGATTTTTTTTTATGAAGAGCAATTATACAAGGAGTTCTAATTATACAAGAACTCTTTTTTGGGCAGTCATGTAAAAAGTATTGATAGCTATTAAGTTATTTTTACGTCAAGCCTGATACAATGTTAGAAAGAGATGCAGTAAATTGTCATTATATCGCATGTTTGATAGAAAACAGAACTAACTCGTAAAAGAGATTATTTCAAAAACTAATAATTCAAGAACTTTATTCTTGAATTATTTTATATAGAACCCATATCCTCTTGTCTTTTTTTTATGTGATATGTCGGCAAACGGGCATGCGGATTACCTGATGGTAAGCAATCAGCGCCGCCCATGGACACCCGCAACGACGGACGAGTTTCAAGTGCGTAGTCGACCTTTTGGGGATTAGGGATTTAGAGATTTTGGGGAAGGGAACGGATTGGGGTAGAGGAAGGATTGGGCCTCCGGTAACCTCACTCACACGGCGAAACACAACTCTCTGGTTATTTCACGCTGGTTTTCTGTGAGGCCGTGGTATCACTCCGGTCGAGCCGACCCATTCGTGCCGAAGCATGGCTCTCCCACACTTAGCATGCTCTGCTGTGTCTGAGTTACTCCTCTCTTCTATTAATCATACGATATGTGTGTGTTGTTTTTACGGGTTAGGTCGGTAAACGAGTAGACGGATTACCTGTTGGAAGGCAATCGCAAGGGCGGATCCACCGTTGTGGGCACGATGGGCATGCCTACAACCTGAAATAGGTTTGGATCGAAACTGACTATTAGAAATTAGAAGAAATTGTGTCCGACTTCTTCCTAAGTTTATTTACATTCCTAAGGCCAAAGTCCTGATGCTCAGAAAAAAAGAAAATATTCTAATTCATAAGTTCATAAACGATTTGCATGATTGTTAATGAGCATGTCCAAATGTCCATGCTCCAACTCGTACTTAACCGATTTTCTAGTAGCTGACGGCTGGAGCCGTGCTTGGGTAATCGACGCCGCGCCGCCCGTAACACCAAAAGGTGTTACGAGTGTACAGTCAGTCTTTTGTTTGTGCAAGTGCGTTGCCGACCTTTTGTGTGTTATTAAGGATTTAAGGATAGGAGATTAAGGAATTGAGGATCGAGGTGGAAGGATTGTGTATCGGTAACTTCATTCACGCGGCGAAACACAAATCAGGCGTTTTTTCACGTCGTAATCTGAGAGACTGTATCACTCATTCGCATTCCGCACCATCTCCGTCAATATGGGCTGAACATGACTCACCCACTCTTAAAAAATGTTAAATTAATTATAATAATAGTACCTAATTATATTCTTTTGAATCTGGACACATTCTAGAATACATGTATTAATTGAAACTTAACAAACATGAAGCTCTTCTGTCAATCCTTAGCACCGACTACTAAGTCTTTAACGTCATGTTGACCAAAACCTTCTGACGATGATGACTGAACTATAAATTACAATAATTTGTCCCAACAATCCCACAATGCCAATAAAAAGAATCTACTAACACAAAACATTCAAATTACCCTCCCACGCAATAGAAAGCGTTCACAAAAGGTATAATTTTCTGCTTGTCTGGTGACTGAGTTTCAAGATATGAAGCATGTCTTCTTTGATGGGGGATTATGCTTTTGTAAAAGAAACCAACATACGCGGTCCATTTACGAGCCATCTTGTAATGTATATTAGTTGCCAATTATAATTTACTAGCGACCCACCCCGGTTTCGCTCGAGTAAAATGCTGGTAATAAATTATTCAATTAATTTAATACTTAAATGTTATCTATACTAATATAATAAAGAGGTAAAATTTGTTAGTTTGTATGTAGGGGGTAATCTTTGGAACCCCTGGTCGCATTTCCAAAATTCTTTCACTGATAGATAGCTACAACGTTCCTAAGTGCTATAGGCTATAAAACATCACGCTACGATTAAATGGAGCCGAGCAGCGGGTGAAAACGCGCGAGAGTAGCTAGTTATACAATATATAAACCGTCCTCTTCATCATGATCTATTTAAAAAGACTGCATCAAAATCAGTTGCTTAGTTTTTAGATAGAACGAGAAAGCGACTTTGTTTTATACTGGAATAGGTTGCTTATCTTGATCCATCGCAGGCCGTATCATCGATTACCACCAGGGAAGATAATGGCCAATGGCGAATTAAAAAAATCAGCCATTCAGGGAAATAATAGTGAACCATTTTGTTAGAGAAGGCCCGTGCAAGCTACTCATGAATAGAAGTAACTTGTGACTTAAAACTTATACTAAGTATTATTAAAATCGAATTACGTCGTTATTTTAGCGCCGCCCATGGATACCCGAAACATCAGGAGTTACGAGTGCGTCGCCGACCTTTTGGGGATTAGGAGATTTTAGAATTGGAGAGGGTTTTTTTTGGGCATCCGGTAACCTCACTCACACGGCGAAACAACACGCTGTGGTTGTTTCACTCCGGTTTTCTGTGGGACCGTAGTATCACTTCGGTTGAACCGACCCATTGCTGCCGAAGCACCAGGCTCTTTAACGCATTATTGTTGTCAGCCAGTATTGGTCGACATCCTCACAGAAAACCAGCGTGAAACAACCACAGCGTTGTGTTTCGCCGTGTGATTGAGGTTACCGGAGGCCCAATCCTTCCCCTCCCCCGATCTTCTAAGAGAAAACCCTAATACCTAAGAGCTCGGTAAAGCACTCGTAACTCCTCCGTTGCGGGTGTCCATGGGTGGCGCTGATTGCTTACCATCAGGTAATCCGTCTGCTCGTTTGCCGATCTATTACATAAAAAAAATATACAGTCGAAGATTTTAACAAATTTTGGTGTTTCGTTTTTCGTTTTTCATGTACTATACAAGAAAAAACATTTTAATTCAATACGTATTGGTATTATTTCTATTAAATGACCACTGTCTCTCTCATGGACATCAATTCAGTGTGAAACAAATCAGATGGAAATATCACTTGAATGAATCTCAATGGATAGCGTAGGTAGTTGATTAATTCCCTTAAGATTGTCTGGCTATGATCGAAATCTATAAATACATTTTAATATTAGTATCTCGAATTTCGATATCTATATTAATGTGCCCAATATAGACTAGTCTTTAAGCAATAAAATCTTGAATACATAACCTTCTTAATAGTCAGTAAAACATCAAAATATTTTTTTGCAATCTGTGCAATTCTATTTTCAAACCGAATTAGTAAGATGTTCATGTCTATTTACAGATTGGTCACCGTCTGAACTGTTTTTGTCTGTGGTTCAAGTTACAGAATGATTTTCGCCTGTTCAATACGTAGTCATGGAATTAGCAGTCTACATCTCCTTTTGTTCTAACTCTCCCATAGCGATACTTCTGAAAGAGATTTCTGAAGACATAAGCTGTGCCTTTGTACCTTATGATTCTATTATTCTTTTTGGCTCAATAACTGTGCAAATTATTAAATCTTACTTCTTATTTTACTATTTTACTAATATTTTAAATGCGTAAGTTACGATGTTTGGATGTCTGTTAATCATTTACTCAATCAAAAGGACATAAGCTACTTTTTATCAATGTACCACGCGGCAGAAGCCGTGGGCGGAATAACACACACACCTCTTTGTCCCCCGGTTGCAAATAGTAACTACAGGCAGAGCTTGTGTCGAGCTTGTCGTACCTTTAACGACATCAGTAGCAAGCATGATGTAGATATCTTTTGTACAAGCCTGAGAAAAGCTAGAACCATGATAAGTGGAGAATTTTTTAATAACTAATTTATGTTTTTTCAAATATGTTTACATCATTTTTTCTTTACATAATTTTCTTGCAGTGTGCCTACTGTTTTATTATATTTACAATTTTGATTTTGTTAACTATTCTGGCACTATTCGTGTGAATCTGTAAGTGGCTCAATGTCACTATTTTTCTGCTAAAATTGTATAATGTAGCTGTTGATTCACCATTTATTAAATAAATAAACATATAAATGATATCCATTTAAACAATGCAAAAACTTCTTTCTTTCACAGCCTGAAGAAGCAGACATAAAAGACGGTTGGGTGCCCAACCCCCCCTGTGAATGGACCTGCGAGCTGACCAACGATGCTGGCTACGTCGTCTACTCGGCTCTCGGATCCTTCTACATCCCCATGTTCGTGATGCTATTCTTCTATTGGAGAATATATAAAGCTGCTGTTAGAACCACCAAAGCAATTAATCAGGGTTTTAGAACGACAAAAGGTGAGGATCTTCTGATTTACAAAAAAATATATTATAGCTAAGCTTTGTCAAAATTGGTCGGTTGTGTTTTCAAAGTCAAAGTTCAAGTCAAAATCATTTACACCAAGTAAACCATAAATAGATACATATTAATTACAGTATATTCTGCTACATATTAATTACAGTATATCTGATCTGTATGATCTTAGAGTTCTTTTTACTCAAGGATATGGTGTAATTTTCATTTTTGCTCACAACCACAGTTCCATTTTGGCATGGTAGGTACCTACTCTTGTTCAGACGGGGTTGCGGGTTAAGCGCAATGAGTCACCGCGGCGTCGGCCCAGAGCAGGAGAAGGAACTGGGGGTTCTTAGTCAGTAAGAGTCTGACATTCTTTCTCGCCTAACCCTGGGCGGGAGAAGTCATTTGATGATTTTCCCCTGACAAAAAAAGGGTATCTCCTTTTGTTTGTTTTTATGATTGGAAACCTTACCACCTACTGTTTCTATTTCTTTCTCCGGTCCTAGCCGCGATACATGATTGTATTTGCATTCTTTTGGTGTAGCATAAATAGCCAAATGATTTTGAATATATTTAACTAACGAGAAATGTTCCACAGCGATGCTGCAATATTATAACACTTTTCATAAAACAGAATCAGACCAATCGATGAACAGTCATTCAAAATTAGCAACTAAGCCAAAAATGATGGTGTCAAAGAACAAAATAATTTGTATTATCAGCCTGCTCTCAATTTGCAGGCAAAGGTATGGGCAGTCGGTTTGATGACAACCGACTGACGCTTCGGATACATAGGGGTAGAGGATCCAACCGTCCCCACGGATCTCCGCTGTCCAATGCCTCCAATCATTCTACGAGTACTTCCCTTAGTGCTTCTCCGGAAAGATTAAGAAGGTATGTTTTTACTAATATTATTAAGAGATTTTTACTTTTGTATGTAGGGGATATCTTTGGAACCGCTGCTGCGATTGTCAGATTTCCAGAATTCTTTCACTAATAGATTGGTAGTTATAATGTTCCTGATACTCGGGCCACACGAACGGGAAATGCCATTAATTATCGCGTCAATCGTATGTGTAATTTAATCAAACATAAACACATGATTTAACACTTTAAGCGCCATGGGGGTCACCGGTGACCTCCGTTAGTGGAGGATTTGCCTTCAACATTTTTCTGTCGGCAATCAAAGGCTTAAGGTATATTTTGCATTGTTTAATATTATCAATTATCACGACAATTATTCGCATGACCGCCAGTGTGGCCCCAGCATAAAGGTAGAAAAGTTATAACTTTTGGGTCATAATTTTAATCACCATCAGCCTATAAGTGCTCGCTGCTGAGCAAAGGCCTCTTCTCATACGGAGCATTAATCACCACGCTTGCTCAATGTGGGTTGGCGATTTCAAACTTATAATTAGAAATTATAAGTCCAGGTTCCCTCACGATGTTTACCTTCACCATATGTCAATGGTGTCTAAATATTCATACTCGGAAAAAGTCACACTGGTACTTGCCAGGTTTCGAACCCTCATGCATCAAAAAAAAAACAGAAATGCAATGAAAAAGGGCTCCTCTGTTGGGCAGTAGCCCGCTAGGCTGGACACGTCGCCTGATCGAAGGATCCTGCTTTTCCGATATTAGAGACCTTTACTCTCTGTCACCTAAAGTTATTTTAAGATCAAGACATTCTTACTATTGTCCATACTCTGTAGTAAGTTAGAACACTCAATAATCTTTAACTCGATGAAATTTCTAGTACTTATAAAGGTTTTGAAAGGTCTTCTCTATTCAAATTACTTTTCAGTGCTCAGTCAACTGAAGAAGGTATCTGTTGGTATTTTGTTAATTACAGACCGAATTTACTGAAATCCTTTTTGACCTAAGATCAAAATAAAAATACAGCAAGAAATTAAGCTAAAAAACCTCTATAATAAAATCTATACCTACATAAGTACTTTGCCCATTGATAAACAAAAGAAGCCCCAATCTCCTAGTTAATAAGACTCCAGAATAAAACATATACTTTCAATTTCAACTTACAGACACTCAAGCGCCCGACGAGCTCATGAGAAAGTGAAAATCTCCGTATCATATCCCTCATCAGAACAAATATGTCCAGCTCATGAGAACTCCATGTCTTCAAGTAGATCTCCCAGCCCATCTTTATACGCAGTCCATTATGAACGAGACGGGAGGGAACTGACAGAAAGCCGGTTGAGGGTTCGACCTTCGCACCACTTGGCTCCAGGACCTTTGTATGATGAGTATGATGATAAGCCAAGAACCACTAGGAGGATGGGAAAGAGGAATATTAAAGCTCAGGTTAGTATTTTGTTTGTATTATGGTTTTCTTTTATGTAATTGGTCGGCAAACGAGCATACGGATAACCTGATGGTAAGCAATCATGGACACCCGCAACATAGGAGTTACGAGTGCGTTGCCGACCTTTTAGGGATTAGGGATTTGGAGATTTAGGGATTGAGGAGGGATTGGGGGCGGGGATGGATTGGGCCGGTTGTTTTAAGAAATATGGTCCATAGTGTTCGATGGATTATTGTACGAAGTGAAAGCTGAACTTATGAATCTCTGTTTACCAGTTCTTTTCTGAAAGTAAGCAATAGGCGTCACCCATTGACACTCGCTTTATCAAAAGAGTTATTGCAGGTTCGTTGCCGGCTTCTTGTGGGTTGTTAGGGATAGGGGATTTAAGGATTGAGAACGTGGATGAAGAATGTGGCCTCCGATAAACTTGTAGCCGCACCTCACGACTACATACCTACCAATACCATATTCAAAACCATGTACCATATTTACCTTATATGACCATATATACCGATACCACCGAATACCTTACCATACATCAAAACCAGATACCATATACCTTCCACATACCAACGTTTTTAGACTTTCCGTTATCAAGAGAAAGATGATAACAGGTGCGGCTACAAACTTATTCACAGGGCGAAATACAAACCGTTATTGTTGCTTCACGCTTGTTTTCTGTGAGGCCTATCACTCCGGTCGAGCTGGCCCATTCGAGCCGAAGCATAGCTGTCTCACGAACAAATTAAAATATCCCTTGTCTAACCAAAATTGCCGCGGTTTGACCCCAAAGAATAAAGCTATTATCACATATAACCTATAACCATAACCAAAAATATAAAATAACCATGTATATCTTTTTAAATTTCTAGGTAAAACGCTTCCGAATGGAGACGAAAGCAGCCAAGACCCTCGGCATCATAGTCGGAGGTTTCGTGTTCTGCTGGCTCCCCTTCTTCAGCGTGTACGTTGTGAGGGCGTTCTGCGGGGACTGTGTCAGCCCTATCGTCTTCTCTGTGCTGTTCTGGTTGGGCTACTGCAACTCCGCCATCAACCCCTTGATTTATGCGCTGTTCTCTAAGGACTTCAGGTAAGATTATTTTAATGCATGGGTAATTCATTTTTATGTCACAACAAAAGATCAAACAGATTACCTGATAATAACTATATTTTTGCTAAAGAAATATTTTTCTTAGTTTACTCCATATAGTATTAGTCAAGGAAGATACCTGACTGACCTAATACAATGGAAAAATTGAAGCCTTTAAACTACTGAACCTCTTACCTACTTATTTTTTTTAATGGTTAGCCTAAATGACTAGATATTTAATAACTAAAATAAGACACCAGCCTTAACTTATCAGCCGGGGTTGCAAGGCAAGCGCAATGAGGCACTGCACCCTAGGCCCAGAGAAGGAGAAGGAACAGGGGGGGTTTTTATTCAGTAAGAGTCTGACAGTCTCGCCCCCACTCTGGGCGCCCACTCTGGGAGAAGTAATTTTTTTGTGATTTTCCACTCACAAAAACAAGCCTTAACTTATACATCGATACCAATTCATTTGCTATATGCATTTTCAAAAAACAAAAGAAAACTTTATTAAAAATAACAACTTACCAAAGTGAATTAACTGAAGAAAAGTTAAGTTATACGGACTAGTTTCAAGTTACAACGGGACTACGGGACACTCATTTATGAGAAGCGTGCCCGTCACGGCGACGGCTCGCAGGCGACGCGTGACGAATTTTAAACAAAACCTTTATTTATAGGTATCTTACGTACAAAATGTAGTCTACTACAGTACTGTAAGAGCTCTGTAAACATTTGGGTGTGTATTTTAATCACATTTCTTTCACACAGATTCGCATTCAAACGCATAATCTGCAAGTGCTTCTGTGGCGGTGGTGGGCCTAGAAGAGAATCGGATGGCGAAGGTTCTAGGCGACAAAACAATAAACCAACTCATTCGCACTCACTTGAAGAACATGACGCGAACAACCACACCTCCACCACAACTAGTACTAGCGCTGCAGATAGGTAAACGAAGATATTCCATATGTTGTAAATAGTTTTTGTAAAAAGGATCATAATTTGTAAGTTAAGAAGTGATGCTGATTGATTATTTAATAAATAACGATGTTTAAAATTACCCCCGGAAATATTAATTTAATTCACACTTTAAAATATCCTGGATATGTTATTCTTACGTTAACTGTCTTTCAAGGAAAGCTAAATGATTTTCTTGGACAACACGACTCTTAAATAAAAAATTTACAACACTGCCATCTATGTACCTACTATAGAACTACGACCAAATTGTTTACATTAACGCTATCGAGATGTAGCTATAATCAAAAATTTTAGCCACGCATTAATATTCTTTTTGCTGCTAAAAATTAAAAACGTCTTTTTATCCTTTTTCAGGTGACGGCGAGCAATGCGACGGCAAAATCCGCAGTTCCAGTCAACCGTCGCATGCGTTTAGTTAATGAAAGTCAACTTTAGCGTTTATTAACTGATAAAATAACGTAACACAATATATAAAAACCGTTTTTTATCTGTATATTGTTACCAAACGCGTCCTACTGTAGAAGTCATAATTATTGTTAGTATAAGTAAATGTGTGTATAAAAATTACATCGTTATAACGTATAAATAACATAGTTATTTTACCGTTATTTCGTACAAAATAGCTAAAATACAAGCTGTTTTAAAAATTATAACTGTGCGCACTTCAGTGAATGTTTTTAAAAAGTGAATTTATTTATTGAAAAGACTGTCAGAACTTAATTGTACCTAATATTACGTAATAAATTATGCGAAATAACCAAATTAATGTTGTAACGAGGAACTTTAATGAAATAAATTAAGGAAAAATGTAGATATCTATTAGACTATCGGGCGTGGACTGCACAGAATATATAAATGTTCATGTATAAGCACGCTCTGGATCTTTTTAGTATCTCCAATTTTTAAACGCTTATAACTGATACGTCATTTAGTACTTATCCTAGTAACTTATTCCTCACTCAACTCTAAGAGTAATCTAAGTAAAATTATGCCTGAAGCCTATAACATAATAATATTGTCCCTTTTCCATAAGTAGATAAGCTAGAAGTCCTAAAATTTCGAATCTTATAGTAAATTCTTGTCTCCCTTCATAACTTTATATAGTAAACAAATATTTTTTTTCCTCAACCTTTTGACCTACTTAGGAAAACATCTTCTGATTTAATATCTATCATACTTTCGAGCTTTTCATTTATAAATGTCATTCTAAGGATCTTGACAAGAACCAAGCTTGACTTCCACTAGTAAAAAGTCTTAATTAACTTTACAACGTAATTTAAACCAGCATCCGAACAATAGATCTAATTTTATACTAATCCAAGAAACTGTAAATGCCTTATAAATAACAAGCAGGTTTTGTTATAAAATTATTAAAAGAAATTAAAAAACTAAGCAATATAATACCGACTATCTGAAATTTAAGTCAATACGTTAAGTTGTACCTTTGTAGTTTGAACTGACCTTAAATATCGGAGGTCGACAGTGCCTGTTTTTTATAAGTAAACTGTATCTTTGAACTTAAACTAGACTATAAAAATGAAAATATAAATCAACAAATCTGTCTAAGGCAAATGTACAAACTTCTAGTGATTTAAAGGGGACGAATAAATGAATAGCCTGTCTGAATAACAGCGTAGTTGGTGCAACAGTGACCCATATCAAACTGTTCCAATGATGACTTCAATACCAAGCTGCGGTCAGCATAAACGGGTATTTAAATAGTCAATGGATAAATAAAGATCTCAACGTTCCTCAACTTTATTCGATTGTGTATTCGATGTTTTAACATTATATTCGTTAGGCGAGTTGTATGTTTACGTGTGAGCGATACCAATATTATGTGGATTAATATACGAGATGTTACCTATATATTGTTTTATTGATCCCTTTCACCAAAATTATATAACAATAATGTACTATCAGTGTCATAAGTGCATGGAGGATTCCAAATCAAAATCGTTTGTACGGCGTTTCATCGCCGTAATAATATACCACGTATGACATAGATGGCGCTGGTATACTAGTGGTATTGAAAAATATATATTTATAGTTTTTATCAGATACAAAGCTATTAACATAATAAATTTTTACACAAATTAATGCTACGATATTCCAAACCTTTTTAAAGCAAAGCACGCTATAACCAGGATTCGAACTCGGTAGCATAAAATTTACCGATGCCACTAGCCATTAGGCCATTGCGTAACGTTGAAATGTATTGAAATCATCCTACTCTTTATTATTTGAAGTTGTTTAGCAACTATATTTATTTATTTATTTATTTAAAAGCTTCATGCACAAGATACTGTACACAAGGTGGGCTTAATGCTTTGAGCATTCTCTACCAGTCTGACCTTTGGGTGATGCAGAGAAGAATAACAATGGCAGATGCAAGAAGCAAGCATGAAATTTGTGAAATTGTAAAAGGCTGAAGAATATATATACCAATATAATAAATCTACACATACAATACATATATATGTATATATATATATATATATCATTCATTACCAAGTAAATACATATATGTATACTTACATAAGAACTTACACATAATATTACATAAATACATATAATCATACACACACCATATATATCATGTCATGATTCTGACGACTCTGCCACTCTCTTTAACAGGAGCTCTCGAACTTTCCGCTTGAACGACAAACGACTGGGTGACAACCTGATATCGGGGGGGAGCGCTAACTATAACACGATCATAAATCTCAAAACAGTTGAGGGTAATTTAATATTAACTGTAAAAAAATTAAACCTTTTTGTTCAATCATAACATTCTTTACTATCTTTGAGTGAGTTCAGTTACGATTTGTTTAACAAGTTTTTAATATATATTTTTATCATGAGTTTGCGTTCAAATATTGATATGGCTACGAGGGCCCAAATAATAGCATTGCATAATCAAAGCTTAAATTATACTGAAATTTCGAGAGAAACTGGCTTAAACGTAAGTATTCTTGTAAAATGATCGTTCGTTATTTATTTTATTATCCATGGTTATCGATACATGAAAATATTAAATTATACACGTCCCTTACAGGTAAAGACTTCCACTTTATGGATATCTAAAGCTGTTTCAAGAAGAGGGTTCATTGGAGCATCGTAGTGGATCTGGCAGAAGACCTGATATTGACTCAGACCAGCTTCAACTTATGGGGCAAGGTTATGAGGAAAATTACTGGAGCATTGTCATCTTCAGTGATGCAAACAGTGAAAACTACATAGATGTGCTGAATGACGTCATGAAGATGTGCTAGTGAATGATAACGTTCGTGCAGGACAATTGTCTTATGTGTAATGTTCCATAATTGTGCAAGTGTTTAGTCAGCAATCAGACATACGGATTATTCCTTGGCCAGCGAGATAGGAGAAATAGGATCGATAAAAATGGCGGCTACACTAGTTCTTAGAAGAAAAGATATTGTTGACTATAGGATTAAGCAATTACAAGACCGGGGTAGCTATAATTTATTTAATGGATAAATGTTCAAACTTAGTGTTAGTAGGATAAATTTATTGACTACTTTATAACCAGCAACTGTTATTTACAGTTATGATTTTAATGTTTTACTAAATATGAGAAATAAAAATAAAAGCAATATTAATATCTACAGATGCTATCGATTGTAAAATAATAAATTATTTATTTATTAATTACTATAAACAATTCGTCCCATATCTAATGAATGCTATATCCCGGTCTTAGAAATGTTATTGATTTAAGGTCTAGCTTCAATTTCTTCCTTGTTCTGGAACGAATACTTAAGCTATGAGCCTTTGTCATAACATGATGCACAAAATGAATCACTTTAGTCAATACTTTAATTAAATTTTATGGGAAGGTAAAATAGTTGCAGAAGTAAGGTTGCATATTATATAGAATCGTATTATAACATTGTGTTTAAAACTAACTAATAAATGACTAGCATAACACAATTTTGATTTAAAATACTTATTAATTTTATAAAAAGTGTATTAAATAATGTGTCAGTTAACTGAAAAGTTATTAGGTCAGGGTATACACTATATAAGAAAGAAATAAATATTATGTTTTAAGAAATAAATGTCTGAAATTATAATGCCACTAAAAGAGTTTTATTTGTTATCCTTTATGAGAATTAAACTTAGTGTTAGTCCTAATCTGTAAGAAAATATGTTACTTTTACATTAATAGTTAGCACATATTATAAAAGTTATTATATATATTTATTAATATAATTTTATTCTAAAATAATATGTATATATATATATATATATATATATATAAATATATATTTATTTTTGTTATCTTTTATAAATATTAAACGTCAAATATTTTATTTATATATTATTATTATTGATTTTATATAAAAAAACCATTGTTAAAAAACCTGACTTTAAAAATTATATAACCCGGTATTGAACCGGTGCCCTTCGACTTCATTATTCTATCAGAGCTATCGATCGCATTTTTATAATGTCGAAAATGCGGGTTAGTTTATAACTTTTATTATTGTCTATTATTAATTATTGACGCCATCTTTTAATTGGTTTGCTTGAGTTGACTTAGATGGCGCTATATTAAGTCCTCGGAAATGAGAAAATTAACATAATTTATGTGTATTTATAAATATATTATTGTTTCTTAATTATTATTTTCACCATTAAAAACCTTATTGTGTGCCTCTGCAGTGTAAAGTATTCAAGCTTTGCAGGGTTATTTTCATTTAAAAGCAGCGCCATCTAGTTATCAATGGTAGCATTATGCAAAACCTGTCAGTCAATAGTCGACCTTAAGCTCTCCATGCATTTTTGTCACCCTTAGTACATGCACAACATTGTGTTTTGAAATGAAAGCGAGTTTACAGGCTCGATCTTTCTCCTTTTTTCCCCGAACGGTAAATTCCCAAAGAGTATGTCTTATCCCCAAAAACAAGCAATGCACTCGCAACTTAAACAAAAAACTTATTCAAATCCTAATATGGATACAAATTATAAGGCAACTAGTAAAATTAATAGCTTCCGTCTATCTTATTCTATGGCTACAAGCTACAACCTAACTAAACAGTTCAATTCCTGAATCATCCTGATATTAGTTGGAATAAAGTCTTAGACGACTTTGATATTAATGATAAAGAAAAAACAGTTGTCATGAAGTCCTTTAAGACTGAATCTGATCAATGAGTCTCTTTATACTATTTTATATGGGTACTATCTAATCTCGTGTGGTGTCAGCCGCTGCTCTGCTTCTACAGATCGTAGCGTGATGTTTTATAGCCTAAAATCTTCATCGATAAATAAACTAACAAAAAACAAATTGAATCAATAGTTCCGGAGATTGCGCGTTCAAACAAACTCTTCAGCTTCATAATATTGGTGTAGATAAAATAAGGGTTAAAATACTTTCCACTATAATTATTATAGATAGATCTATCCCTTTAAGGCTCAATTATTATGGTAAGATGTTCCAAATAAATAAGTTACCAATAATAATATTCAGCTGTTACCAGCGAAAAAAAACAAATGAATAAATACATACAAGATTAGAAAAGTTAGTTTTAAAACAATTACTAAGCATGCTTTAATCCTGTCGCATAAAAAATAATAAATGATATTCTTAAAAATATACTGAAAAAAATAACATTTAATAATTTACAAAACCAATAACTGAATTAAACTACGGTTATAATAACCGTTATTGAACACAACACACGGTACGAAGCACGGCACTACCAATATCAGCGGTCGTTCAATGTCAGCGTTCACATTCTGTCATCAAAACAAATTTCATTCATTCACTCAGTTGAGCGACCGCTTTCACTACTGAAGGATGTGTTTGTGGTTATTATAAAACAAACGGGTTATCAATATCGAAACAGTAATAAATCATCGAAGTTATTTATTGTGTCGTACACGTCGTTTATAATTTTATTGTGAGAAATATTAAAAGTCTGTGATAGTAAAATGTATTTCGGAGGAGTAGAAGGGTAAGTTATTAATTTTTGTATTCACTTTTTCCGTACACAAGTGTTAAATATCGAAAGTTGAAAGGCTCGAGCCTTGAGAATAAAGCATTCCTAGGTTTCACAATTGCTAATTAGTGGCTAAACGCAATATATTCATAACCTATATCATTTAGTTTTTGCCTAATTCTAAGCGGAATCTTCTCAACCGCCTAAAATGTCAATGCCGATTTTATTAATGTAAAAATATTTAATGTTATCAACTATTTTCAATGCTAACGTGTACTTTATAATATTTCGGAAGTTTTGACATATTTTATATTTTATTCTAGTTAGTTCCATATTTTTGTCACACAAAATAATGTTAAATGAGATTTTATTGAACTAAATGAAATCTCAGTTAAAAGGATAACAACCAACCTCATCGGTTTTCTTCGTTTAAAATTATTAACTTTTTAATATTTCCTAAACAATATTACTTTTTAACCAGCTTCTCATTAGTGCATTGAACCTCGCAAATATTTGCGTCTTTAGTGTAATCAACACATTAATTAAATACCTTACAGTATTTTAAACAGCTGTTTTAAACTTCTCTAAATTAATTTAAAATTAAATTGATCATACACCTATTGTGTAAAAACAAACAATGCAGTACATTTCACATACATTCACAACCGTAACTTTCGACCAATCAGCAGTCAGCATTCAATCGGCTTGTCAGCCACGCCGACAAAAGTTTAACAAACTAAATTGAACTTTATCTCTTGTAACTACGATAAATTTTTCGCTGTTTAATAATAAGGAATTCTAGTTATTTTGCTATTGCCATCGGTTGATGGCCTTGAATTGGATTTTTGTTAAGTTTACTTTTCAATCAGATTGATATTAAAATGTCAACTGGTTTGTTGAATGCACTTGTTGAAGGCATAAAAGACAAACCAGTGTAGAACACGCAAAAAAAAAATGATTACGAACACACCCCCGTTGATATTTTGTATTTAAATTTAAAATTGGAATGCGAATTTAAAATTGTTTTGTATGATGTAAGTGAGCTAGGCCAAGTCGAGATTATGATGATTGCTCAAAGTTTGTCGTAAGTGCTAGTGAGGAGCGTATCATTGTGTTTTTGGATTTGGTCACCGGGTTATGCTCGATGTAGCCGTTGCTAGGATTATTTCTTGAAATTCTTGGTAAGTAAATAATATGTATTACTCACGAAATTCACTCTTATCTGAAACGAAGAACAATCGTTGCACTCGCATTGTCACTTAATTTATTAGGCTAGACAAAATCCTATTGGAACGAGTTGCCTGTACTACTTAATTCGGTAACTCACCGTACTTAATGGTAACTAATCGGGTACCTAGGTCATGTAAGTCATTATGTATGGGTATAATTTACTAACTGATTTAAGTGTGGGAGAGCCATGCTTCGGCACGAATGGGTCGGCTCGACCAGAGTGATACCAAGGCCTCACAGAAAACCGGCGTGAAACAACCACAGCGTTGTGTATCGCCGTTTGAGTGAGGTTACCGGAGGCCAATCCTTCACCTCCCCCAATCCCTCCTCAATCCCTAAATCTCCAAATCCCTAATCCCTAAAAGGTCAGCAACGCACTCGTAAATCCTCCGTTGCGGCTGTCCATGGGCGGCGCTGATTGCTTACCATCAGGTAGGTAATTCATCTGCTCGTTTTCCGACCTATTACATAAAAAAAGTAACTAAGTAAATTTAGTATCTTAAAATATCGGTACCGTACTTTGCTCGTTTTGTTCCACAATCGATTAAAAATATAATTATTTTACATTAAAAAGAGAATAAACCAACAAATGTCAGTAGGTACCTACTGCAAGTTTATCAAAACAAAGCTATAAACTCTTTCGATGTTTACGATTTTATTGTATACTTAGGCTACTACGATATAATGAACTAATATCCTCTGATACTAGAGTATTAAATATCGATCTGAATAACACATACTTAATACGATAATAATGTTATATTACCGACCTGCATATTATATCTATGAGATTTGCATATATTATAACACTTTATATTGTAAATACTGTTAGCTACAACATAAAACAATGTGCTTATAATGGGGAGATGTGTAGGTTTGCAGACATTTTATTTTTGTCTGTGAATTTAATTTTTTTTTTTTATTGTTTATGTACGCAAATTTTTCGTACGACTTGTCTTAAATAAAAAAAGCATACAAATATTGATTTTCTTAAAACGAGTACTTCAATACAATAATAAATGGCATTTTAAGACAGACTTCGTTTAAGTATTATAATTTTATACAAAAAGGCTGTGAAATGTCACTAGAAATATTCCTGTCCCGATTCTATTTTTAAGAACAAGACTGGATTCTGTTCTGTTGTTTCTGACCAGTCAAATTCGATACTATTATTGTAATGCCTAAAACGGTGCTTTTTTGAAGAAATTTGTATGAAATCGCAACATTATGTCGTCAAAATGATTTTACCGTGAAACAGCATGCTTATTTCTTAAAAATTAAGTAGATATATCATGAAATCCATTATAATGAAAGTAGGTATGATTACATTTTACTAGCTACTCCCGCACGGTGTTTTATAGTCTTCTTCCCTTCCTCGATAAATGAACTAACAAACACAAAAAGAATTATTCATTTCGAACCAGCAGATCCGGAGATTAGCGCGTTCAAACAAATAAACAAACTCTTAAGCTTTATAATATTAGTATAGATTATTTTTGACGAAACTACCCACCGAATTCTCGAACTGAATACAAAACTATGAGTACTACTTACCTATAATTGACGGAATTAGGTCACACTCTGACCGGTATGCGGAATGGAAATATTTCTGAGGGACAACTCGCAACAAAACCAAACACGACTTTCAAAAATAGCGCCAAGTCTCAACGATTTGTTTGCGATTCGAGTTGAGGTGTGTCTCAATGCAACCAGTTATATCGGTCAATAAATGAGTTACGAGTTACCCAGTTGCAAGCCAAGCCCCTGTTTATTCTTTTAGTTGGTCGACATAATATTCGCTTGTTTTTTTATGTGATAGGTGAGCAAACGAGCAGGTCGATTACATGATGGTAAGCAATCAGCGCCGCCCATGGACAACAGCAACAGCAACAAAAGAGGAGTTATGAGTGCGTTGCCGACCTTTTGGGGATTAAGGATTTGGATATTTAGGGATTGGGGAGGGGAAGGATTGGGCATTAGGTAAACTCACTCATTCGGCAAAACACATTGCTGTGGTATCCCTCCAATCGAGCCGACCTATTCTTGCCGAAGCATGGCTCTGCATGGTGTTAACTGTTATTGTTTTATTAAACTCAGTTTGTTCTTAAAGTATATTGCTATTCACCATTCTGTCAATGATTTAGTAAGGAACAGTCCTTTTTTCATTATAAAGCTGTTATATGCCCGGTTTCCGAAAGCCCGATCAATGTTCTGTGAAATCAACTAACTAGGTGTCAAATCTCTTGTCAAGTCATCTAATTGGTTGTTGATAATTCAGTTAACCAATCAGAAGACTTGACAAGAGATTAAATTGATTTTAACATTGATCGGCCATTCGGAAACCTGGCGTTAGTGTAATTGTTATTGGTTCATCATAACTTCCCGTACCGTCTCGTAAACAAAAGAGGAATAAAAAATATTTACGTGCCATAATTATGCCAAAACTCGAACGACAAAATATCAAATAGGTACATTACACGGTTTTCTTATCAATCTATCTATACCCAAATGTATGTAGGTCACATTTCACAAAAACACGCGTTTTCCGCAAAAAGTTCCTATATGCCCGCATGATACGATTATTTCGATAAACCATTTGTAATCCTTGAATTCCTTGACATAGCTATAGCGAAATCTGTTTGTCTGTTATCTCTAATTTAAAAAGAAACATGAATTCCACAATTAATGTCAAATTCCTGTGTTTTGTGTTGTTTTTTACTGATAAATTTGCCATAGAATATATACTATCAAAATCGTAAACAAATTGAAAAGGAACCACGCTAGTATAAAAGTATTCCAATTTCAAAATCATAGAAAAACACTTCAGAAAAGTTTTTTTATTATAACTTTCGTGAGACATTCTAAATTATTTATTATGTTTTCGGCTTACTCACGTAACAATTTAACGAGGTACTCGACTAGTTTCAGCGAAATGCTGCTCATGAATATGGGCCTCTAGCATGGCTTGAAATTAGTCGAGCATCTCGTCAAATTATTACGTGAGTAAGCCGAAAACATAATAAATAATTTAGAAAAGTTGTTTACGTTATATTCACCAGTTTGTAATTGTAAGATACTTGGTAAATAGAAATCTCAATACAATCGTTCGCGATGTTTAATCTCATTCAATAGAGGAAGTCTGATAAAATTGCGTATGCTGTACACGCACGCAATGAAAACAGGTTCTTACTACAGAAAGTTGTTCAATCGTAGATTAGTTTGCAGTACTTATTTACCTACTTAAGTTATGGTTCACTGATTCAAGAAGTACCTACTTAAGTTTTACTCAGTACTACCACAGTATAAATAGATAGAGAATATTTATACTGTGGTACTGCTCTGATATTGTTCGATCACCGGATAAGACGTTGTACTGCGGCGTAACTCTTCGATACCATGGAGACATTGCATTTGTTTTCGTATTCAACAATAAATGTGGGTGCCAAGCTTCGGCACGAAGTAGTCGGCTTAATCAGAGTGATACAACGGCCTCACAGAAAACTAGCGTGAAACAACCACAGGGTTGTGTTTCGCCGCGTGATGGAGGCTACCGGAGGCTCATTCCTTCCCCTCCCCCATCCTTGTCCCAATCTCTATCTCTATTAAATCTCAGGTATCCCGAAAAGGTCGGCAACGCTCTCGTATATTTTCGGTTGTTACGGGGATCCGTCTGCTCGTTAGTCGACCTATCACATAAAAAAAGAACTTTCGTGTCCTTCTTTTTAACATTATTTTAATTTTAATAACCTTGTTGTTCTTTCTTTAATATCTTTCCTCACAAACTA